GCGCTTGGGTTCCTGCTGCCTGCGGGCAGCTTTTAGGGGTTACGTGATGTTAAAATGCGCACGTCGCGTCCTACGTGACCTTCACCAAAGCCTCTGGGAGTGGTGCAGTGATGCAATACAACACGTAAAGTCGGTCTGTTCCCAGGTAGGCGCACACGCAGTCGGTGTGGATTATTAAGGGCACAGTTCAGAAAAGCAATTCATGAGATGCTTAGTTCTCCAAACAGCCGAGTCCAGCTCTGGCAAACATCTGCCTTGCTGAAACACCGCTGACTGACGCTGAACTTAAGCACGTGCTTAAAGTTCAGCATCTGCTTGGATACTCGGTTTAATCGGTGCCAAAATCATCCCTATAAAAGCTTATGCCTTTTTGGTGCCTACTTATCAAAATTTATGTAATATCTGAGAAAAATCTACTATATGAGTAATAAAGTCTGGTCATGACAATACAGAATTTTACACCATCTGTGAACTTGCTGATACACGTTGTTCATATAGAAGGCAGATCCTGCCATCTGTGTTTATGCTGTAAAAACAAATACAGCGTGCACAGTTTTGTAAACGAAGTCTGACTGAAGCTGAAGGGGACATGTACGGCTTCATCTCTGACAGGACAACCATTTACTTCTGGAGCTTAATACGTTGGGTGGTGGGATTGGGGTTTTTTTCCCCTCTTTTTAAAATTTTTAATAAGTTTTCTTGGAATTCTTGTTCTGCAAAAATAGGTATAATCAATGACTTCATTTCTGTTTTGCTTACTTCTGTGCAGTATTGCTGATCAGCTCAGAGCAAACTCCTCACAGAGAGGTTGCAAGTGGGAGAGAACTGATTTTATTCTCAGCCATCAGGGCATCCCTTGGATGTGAGGGCTGCTTGGCAGGCTCGCCCGGTGCGGAGCTCTACACCACACCAGAAGAATCTGGCTTCTAGGGTCTCGTTGGAGTTTCTAGGGTCTCGTTTCTCAGTCATAGGGATATCCAGTTTTCAGATTGCTCGGCTCTATGGGTATCCCTTCAATTTGCCAACAACCAGGGTCCTTACCTGGAATATACTTGTAACCAGCACAGAGCGGGTCTGTGGTTCCCTCTTTTTCCAGCAAAAGCATAACTTCCTCTTCCAGAGCATTTGCATTTGAAGTAAGGGACAACTGCTGTAGGTAATTAACAGTTGTCCTCAACAGAATCCTAATGATTTAATTAATGACTACCCTAGAAAACACTCCCTGAGAAATATTAAAGTCGGTGGTGCGTATCAATACAGTATTTTATTCTTTCAGGATGAAGCTATTATCCACATTTCACATCTGACTAGAGAGATGTCAGCTGCTTTTAATAGATTTTTCTTGGATTTATGATGTGTTCTGGGCCTGCCAACACTTCAGTTGCATATGATGACAAATTAGCGTTGCCTAACACCGAGGCTATTCAGCATGTTGGGAATCTGCACACCCATAAGAACATAAATGCTTGTGCTTCCATTGTCCTTCAAAACGGCCTCTTCCAGTTAACTCCGGTCAGATCGCCGGGTGACAAAGTCCATTTTCTCTTTCCTGCAGCAGCTCAGGGACAGTATCCACATGGGATGATTGTGCTCCACGAGTTAGTTCTACTCATCTTAAATAGCAAAATGCCTCGAAAACATTCCAGAATGGAGTAGAGGATTTCTGGCCTCCAAGCACCTTTGCAAAACTGAGTTTTAATTTTTTTTTAAATTATTGGTATTTTTCTTACTGTTTTTGAAGGCACGAGAACTGCCTTTTTATACCCACACTTTTGTGGCCGCATATAATTACACCGTAAAAGGTGCATGTTAAGGGGCTGATGGTGAATTAATCACAGAGTCGCTAAGGTTGGAAAGGACCGATAAGATCCCCCAGTCCAACCATCACCCCAGCACTGTCGTACCCACTAGACCACATCCTCAAGCGTTACGTCTGCACGTTCCTTGGACACTTCCAGGGACGGTGACTCCACCACTGCCCTGGGCAGCCTGTTCCAGTGCCTGACCACTCAGGTTCACCACTGAAGGTTCAGTGTATGCTCCTGTGAGATCTCAACTATGTGTTTTTCTGCCCTCAGCTTGTGATTAGGGTGATTTTCTTCCTTCTTTTTTGGTTTTGTTTTTTAACAAACCAAAGCTACAAGTTTTTGATTGTAACCACAGACCCATGGGTTCAGAAACGGCAGCGATCTTGCCTTCTGGCAGGTAGGGCAGAGTCTGTTGTTGCTCTGCACTGGGAAGGGAAGGGGGGAACCCAGAACGTGTTCTCCTGCTGCGAGGGGGCCTCGTCTGGAGCATCCCTGGTGTCAGTCACGTCCGTGGTGGTACTGTGATGATAATATACCATTAGAATGGTAAAATTCTTTGGGTTTTTGTACATACAAGGCCTTGCCTGTTGCTTTGTAAACAGTGTGAATCAAACACTCTAAATCTAGAAATTCATCCTCTCCAACCCTCTGTCAAGAATGTGCTGAAAGAGATAAACTACACCCAGCATTGTTTAAGTGGTCTCGGATGACCCACAGAGAAAAAAGCTTAAATAAGACCAGGCCCAAAGTCTTGAAATTACACAAAATATCTTTAAAGTTACTCAGAAACAAAGATGGAAAAAAAAATCTTAATCCACCTTTTCTCAGCCTTTCTTCCCGGTTTGCAGAGCGCTCGCAGCTCTGCACCGATGCAGCGGGGCTCAGCATGCGCAGAAGCCAGCTAAGCAAACTGCGTGTAGCGCGCGGAGCTGAAGGTCACACAAGTGGTAACCGTGTGACCGTCCCGCAGCCTCGGATTTCCTGTAGCTCGGTCATACGCTGCACCAAAGCGAGATCGTCCTTTGGATGGTTTCCCTTCTATCGGGTTGCTGCCTTCTCCGCAGGCGTTACACCAGTTTGCACAATCCCCACTACAAACGGGTTTCCTTTGATGTCAGTCATGAATTCTTGCTCTCTCTAAAATAAGCGGGATTGTAGCTGTGATTTATAAATTACCACAGCCAAGAGCAGCTGGAAATGGAAAATACAAAGTCTCTGTAATCATGTTGTTATATTTTAAGGCTGTGTGATTTGTAATCTGAAACATTCACAGAGGCTAAAGGAATGTCTGTCAGTTGTTTGCTGTTTTAATCACACGTGCACTCTCTTAACGTGACGGAGAGGAAAGCAATGACGTTTCACTTTCGTTTCCTCCTAGCTGTTGTCAGCGCCGGCCATGGGTTGCCCGCCAAGTTTGTGATCCACTGTAACAGCCCAGGCTGGGGCTCAGACAAATGCGAGGAGCTGCTGGAAAAGACGGTGAAGAACTGCTTGGCTCTGGCTGATGAAAAGAAGCTGAAATCGATTGCGTTTCCTTCGATTGGCAGCGGCAGGTAAGGCGAGTACACCAATCCCATGCCAAATAGGTCACATTTTCCAAGGGCCATCTCGTGTGCTCCAGTCCTAAACCCAGTGCTACAATACTGACTTGTCTTGTTCGTTTAGGTCAGTTCCCTGTATGAAATGTTTCTTGTGGGAGTATTAAGCTGTGCATGGAGCCTGCAGCGTTCTGCGTGCTAGTTCAGCTTGGGTGGGTGTCAGTGATCCCTGCAGGATCTTAAAACATGCACATAGGTTGAAGAGCATAAAATGGACTTTTTAAGAAGATATTACAAGGTTTTTTAGACTATCAACTGGGGATGTGGAGAACGTGAAGAAAAGGGGTCTATTTTACCTAGTTTTAGTGTATAATTATACTTACTGCAATACATGGCTTAGGATGGCCAGAAGACATGTCTTCAGGTTCATTAAGCAGCAAACCCCAAGTGCCTTTGTTCTCAGGATCTGCAGAATCACTTCAAGTTTTCACCCAAAACTTGTAAGCAGAATTCCTCACAGTTTACATCATGGGATTTAAAAGACTTTACCAAGGTTTTTGAAAGCCAGAGTCTACATCGAAGGTGCTCTGACTTTGTAGAGAGTACCCAGTGCTTCGAACGTTGGATCGTGTCCTTAAGAGCCTACGTACAGGCTACACTTTCAATCTGAGCTCTTGGGTTTGGGGTGGGGAGGGAGGTTGGAACACTTGGCCCTTAATGATGGCTCAGGATGGAGACCAAGAGCCAAATCCAGGCGGAGTGGGAGCGTTGTGTCTTTCACCCTGACCATCTGCCCCTTTTGAATTGGTCGTGCAAGAAGCTGGCTGATGTACAGCAGGGATATTCTTACCCCTACG